AAGAAAGATTAGAAAGAGATCGATCAATCCAAAACAATATTATTACACTTAACCAGAATCTAGATTTCACTTAAAGCAAACCTGAATCTTGGTTAGGCATGTTTGGACCAAACTAACAAAATCTTCACAAGTGCTTTTCCCATCAGAACTTCGAAGCGCTTTGTCAACAATCTCATCAAGACTCTGCAAAAACACAATGTAAAGGATAAATCTTTTACTCATGTCCCAAATAACACCGAACATTCGTCATATAAATCTCTGTATTCAAACTTAGCAAAAGATGACTTGCTTACCATGAATGAGCTAACAAAAGCATGGGAATGTGTACCACGGAGCGGTATTCCAAACAGTTTCCCCGCTGCAACATTGCTGCCATAACGAAGAAGCAAGAAAGCAAGAAAATCATATTCTCTCTTCCCTTTGGATGTTTTCATAAACAAAACGAAACAATACAAAATCACTAGTAAGACATGCCTTGTTGCATCAAAACCTCCAAGGTAGCAATATTTTGATGCGCTTATTGCACCATCGGGTCCCTATATAACAATATATCAGAGATGAAGCAAACAAAACCTCAACATCTAAAGCTAACAATATAACACGTTTTCAGGGGAGACCTGAGCTCTTCGAGCACCAAACTCGAGAAGAAGCTTAGACTTTCCGGCGACAAACCGATGCCTGGCTGCATTTGTAGCAACCAAAGATGCGTAATTGATGAGATTGAGAAACGGAGTTTCCAACAATTGCACAACCTAAGTAAGCACAAGAAATCAGAAATTGATGAAACCTGATCACTCCAATTAATTCAGAGGTTAATGAGAGAGTAAAGATGAGTAAACTCACAGCAACAGGACCTTCGATTCTGAGCAAAGGCACTTTAGGAAAAACAACTGAGCCTTCCGGTATAGCATACACTTCAACGTCAGAACAATCAAGTCCTCGGAGATAATCGCAGAAAGCTTCCTGTTTTGGATTTGCAATTGTGAAAACAAAAACAAAAATGGATGCTTTTGTTAATCACGATGATTGTTTACCTCACAACCAGGCAACGAATCACGAACGAAATCGATCTCTTCGTCAGTCAAATTGAAATTGGCGAGGAATTTGATGCATTCTTCTAAACCAGCAAAGATAGTGTATTCTCCACCAAATGGGTTCTTACGAAAATACAAATCAAACCTGAAACGAAGAGAGAAAAAAAAAACAAAAAGCTCAGATTTTTCAAGAGGATCAAAAGGATCGAACTTTTTCGGAAATGAGAGAGAGGCTAACACAGATCGCTCGGATTGTTTGCCGGCTTTCCAGTAAGCATAAGCCATGGTGAATTGGTAGAGATCGTTGAGCAGAGGCGTGACCATCGGGTTTGTGGGTCCGTCGATGACCCGACCCGGTTTCTTCCCATCAGGGCCGTTCTCTTTCCCCTCCATTAAACCCTGCTCTCTTTTTTTTTTCCGGCGACTTTTAGGACTTTGTGCGTGTGTTGAGGAGAAGAGTGGACACTAGTGATTCTTAGAGCATGTAGATCAGTGAACCTCTAGGAGAAGGGTTCACCAGAATATAATAATATTTTTTTTTTTGTTTTTTTTTTAATTCGAAAATTATAATTTTCGACCAATCAGGATGCTCCATTTCGGGATGATACCGTCTCTTCAGATTCGTCGGGATGATACTGTCTCTTCAGTATTAAACTCTTTTGTCTCAAAAACTATGCCATGAATCCCTCTTGATCCTCTGATGTACATGCTCTTATAAACAAAAGGAGAAGCGTGAACGTCAGAATCACGACAAAACTTGTTTCAACTCCGGTCGACTTCAACCAAATTTCCTCCTAGATTTCCTTTGAAGGAGAATCCTATTTAATTTTCTTTCTCGTAAGTCCTTTTTTTTTAATACAGTACACAACTTAGATAATTGAGATTGCTTAAAAGAAAACAAAAAGGTAGTGAGAAATTTGAGATTGTTCAAAAATTATCCACTTTCATGTTTTCTTTGCATCATCAACAAAACTAGGTGTTTAGTCCGCCTTGCGCAGGCCAAAAAGTTTCAAAAACGTTAAAAATATTTTAAAAGTTGTAAACCAAAAAGAATTAGAACAACCCATTTAAGACATATGAAATCAAAAACATAACTAATCATAAAAAGTAAACACCATCCAAAACTAAAAGTCCAAAAAATAATAGTAAATAAGTGTATGAAACCTATAACCAACTAAATTAAGATAAATGTGACTTCTTCGTTTTCTATCTTTCCTCATTTTATACCGTTTGATTTTTCTTATTTGTTGTCTTTGTCTTTTTTTCTTGTATTTCTCCTCATTTTTAACTTCTTCTACTTTGTCTTCATTGTCTTTCATGCATTTTCATTTTTGCGCTTCACCTATCTTTCTCTCCCTCTCTCCATTGCTCCCTCTTTCCCTCTCCCTCACTCATTCCCTCCATCTCTCTCTCTCTCTCACTCATTCCCTATATCCCTCTCTCTCTCACTCATTCCCTCCATCACTCACTCTGCCTATCGAGATCTATATGTCTTTAAAGGCTTTTAATTCTCTCTTTACGTCTTTCTCTCTTCCTCCCTCTCACACAAACTTTTAAAACAATTTCCTCAAAAGTTATGTAGTTAAACACAAGACCCACTGTGAAGCTAGGTAACCTTTCCTATCACGTGTACATATAATTCTACTAAATGTAACCTAAAATACCAAAAACAGATTCATGTTACCACATCCAAACCATCTTTGTTGTCCATGAAATTCACTCGACCAAAGTAATATGTCGCAACCGAATCCAATCAGGCTGCCAACGTCTAAGGTTGCTATTTGTGGCAAAATTTGCTAGGTTTTCTTTCTTCTTCGATTTCTTACACTTTATTTTCTTTTTAATGTTTTAGAGATATTTTTTGTAATTCCAAACATATTAATAAAAAAAAAAGATAAACCTTCCCTATAGTTTAGCTTGGATTTCATTTTAATTTGGGTATTTTAATAGAAAAAGATGAACCTATATATTAATAGAAAAAGTGCACCACAACACTCTTCTTCCTTCCTTTACATATATCATCATGCAAACTAAAAAACTTTTTATAGAAGACGTATACAATATATCGATCATATAATAGATTAGCCAAAGAATTAGAACTAGACATGTGTTTTTAATCGTTGCACATTGTTAAATATCGGCTACAAAAATCTCTAGCAACCAGGAAGGAAAGTGGAAGCTTTGGCTATTTTCATTTGCTTTGGGAACCAAGTCTCCTTGGTATTGGTATGATACACTGATCACCTCTGTGTAATTGGCCAGAGAAAAGATTCACCGATTACCTCTAAGTTCTTCATTCTTCTTCCCTCCCATGGAGCTTAAGGCCACGACTTTGTGGCTATAAAACTTCCACTTTTACTTATTTTTCGACCATCTATCTCTCTCCCTCTCTAGTGTCTCCCACTTTTTCTTTGCATTTTCCCAGTTGAAAATACTCCATGAAAACTAATGGTTTTGTCGGTCATCAATAGATAAGACACACAATTTAATATATCACTCTCGCTCTCTCTAGGTGTTTAGTCCGCGACTTGCGCGGACCAAAAGTTTCATTGAAACATAAAATAAAATTTTATGTCATAAATCAAAAATAATTAGATCCAAAATTTGATACATACAAAAATTAAAATAAAGCTAACCTATGAAAGTAATCATTGTCTAACATTAAAAACTTTAAAATCAATACTAATAAGTGTATGAAATCAATAACCACCAAACTAAAAAATTAAATTAATATGAATTATTCATCTTTTTCTCTTTTTATCTTTTAATTTTTTTCTTTATCATTTTCTTTTTTCTTTCTTTTTTCTTTCTTTTTTCTTTCTTTTTTTTCTTCTTTATTTTCTGTCTTTTTTTACTTTTTATTCTGCTGGTTTTTTTTTTCACGTTTTCTTCTTCTTATCCACATTTTTTCCTTTTTCCTCTCATACATCTTTTGAATTTCTTCTCTTCGAGGTTTTATTCCCTTTCTTCTTCTTTTTCGATGTTTTATTATTCTCTTTCTTTTTTTTTCTTTTTCATTACCATCGTCTTCTTCGTTATCACCAACTTCCTATTCTTCTGGTGTTTTTCGGCTTTTACCTCATCTTCATATTCTTCTACTTTCTCCAATTCCTCAACTTTTAAGGTTTTCATCCAATTTTTTCTCTTCCCTATCTTCTTCTTCTTCTACTTTGTCTTCTATTTTATTTTATTTTTCTCCAATTATTTTTCCTCTCTCCAAATTCTTCATCATATTTTAAAGATTTTTGTCTTATCTGTTTTTTTCTATGTGTTTTTCTCCTTCAACAGATTCTTTTTATTTGTGTTTGTTGTTTTTAATAATTTTTATTAAATTTTAAATTTTTTTTATTAAATTCCGATTTTAAATAATTTTTTATTAATTTTACAATTTTTCATAATTTTTAATTAATTTACGTTTTTAATATTTTTTAATTAATTTACGATTTTTAATAATTTTTATAAGATTTAAATTTAAAAAATATAAGAAGGGGTAAAGGGTAATTAGCCACCCTAAGATTGAATGAGGAGTTTTGACTCAAAATTTTACTTTGCTTATAATATATATGATGATATTTTCCAAGAGTTAGAGTAAAAAAATCTAATTCTAATTAGAGAAAATAAATAACATGAATAGTATCGATTTTATCCTGTATAGGTAGATCTTCACTAATTGAGTAATTGTTGCAGAATGTTTATCGATAGCATAAATATTTTACAATGGTATTAGTGGAGTATATTTTTTAACTTAATTTATTTTTTAAATCCATATAACCTTAATAGGCATGGGTTACATTACTGTCGCCGACGTGAAAATGATTAATTAAGAAATCAAGTTCAAGTAGTTTTTAAAACTTAGAAAACTTCATTAGAAGCTTTTCTGTAATTTACAAACCCGACTCATTGAGTCTGACTACAATGCGAAGATGATCTAGGAAATTTACATCCCACCATAAACATAAATAAACCTAACGATTACTTTGAAATTTAAACTTCAGTTTACATATATAGCTATCAGATCAAAAGACTAGTGAATCTAGTCTCTAGAGTTCGCGTTAACAACAATTTATAAAGAAAAATAAATCTTACAAAAAATAAAGACCGTTAAGTGCATTCTCCATGCATTAACATGCAGCTTTGTTGCTTGCTACCTAAGAAACAAGAACGCATAGAACCCAAAAGTTAAGAGAAGCTGTTCAAGTATGTCGATCTTTTATGTCAGGTTGTTGTCCATCAAACGCACCCTCCTCCCCTGCAAATTCCCAAATATCGCAAGATTTAAAATTGACAGAGTCTTAAAATCTTCTTGAGGATTCAAAATCAGGAAAGACTTTACCGGTTATGTTTGTATTGGAATGACCAATGTTCAACCTCTGATGAGTTAACCCGCCTTCTCGACTCATTTCCTATAAGAAACATGAAATTTCTAGTAAGCAAAACATCCCCTCAAGAACCTAAGGTTTATATAGAGTGAAAATGTGTTACTAAACTACGCACAGCGTGTGAATTAAGGAGAGGGAAAGGTCCAAAGTGATTCCGGATTGAAGGCTCCAACGCGTATGAAGAAGGCACGGTGTTGATCATTTCCGGTGCATTAGAAGTCGATCCAAATTGATTGGTGTGATTAAGGAGAGGATCATTGGTTGCTTCTGGAAGAATCACAGGTCGAGCCTGCGAGAGTTGCAATGGGTGTAATGTAGTTCCAGGTAAGCACAGAGGATGTAAGTTTATTCCATTCCTCATTGTCAACATCTGCAAAGATCATCATCAGTCAAAACAGAGAAATTTCAGAGATTGTTTCCGGAAACTTAGTAAACTTTAAGTGAACAAATCATATATATATTTTGAGAGGGATTTTGTGACCTGGACTTGAAGCTGAAGCTGTTTCAGATACTCTATAGCTTCATCAAGCATCGAAGCCTTATCCGTCTTCCCCAACCAACACATTGCAATGGATATTATAAATCAGACACAATAAGAAGTAACAAACAAAAGAATGATTCATGCATATGGGTGTGTCAATACATATATATAAAGCTTTTACCTTGTTTGAATTTGGGATGAGACTTTGTAAAGCTTTCATTTTTTCATTGATTCTACTTCTCCTCCTCTGTCAGAACAAAGATTAACATAAATCTCTGATTGTGTATGAAAAATATAAGAAATAGAAATTTTTGAAGCAAAAACCTTCTCAGACAAATTATGAACTTCGGCAGCTCTGCATCGCTTAGAGGAGCTACGAGAAGGACCAGACTTAGAGGGAAGTTCATCGACCACAGCTTCTACTCCTTCCTGATTTCATTCAAGCAAATTAGCAAACACTCTATGTGCATTAATTAACATTCAGTAGCTTCATTAAGAAACTTAAACACACACACAAACAAAACAAGGCAAATTTAATTTGCTCATTTAAAGGCGGGGGAAAAAGTACAGATCCGTTAGAGAAATTCACTGTAGAACATTTTCTCGGGAACAGAAAAAGATGGAACTTTTAGAACATGCAGAGAGGCAGAGAGAGAGAATTGAGAAATTCAAAGCACCTCGCTTTCGCAATCATACTCGTCGGTATCATTCCCGCTAGCTCCAACGGAAGAAGACGAAACTCGGGTCCCGGAGCTGTTTCCTTGACCAATGTTATTACCCCCGGAGAAACCAAAACACGCTGCGGCGGGGGAGGCGGCGGAGCCTGATCCAACGGCGGAGCCGATTAAAACATCAGAGAAATCAGCGGCGCGCTTTGACTGAAGCGCAGAACCAGACGGCGGATGTGAAGCGAAACCTCTGGTGTCGTCTGCATGTTGGTCTCCGTGCACTCCAATCGCCGCCGTGGTCATCGTCGCCGGAGAATAGTAAGAAGGGAGAGGAGAAGAACGGTCGAAAATATGTCGGAGAAACTGAGAAATCTCGTCGGAAGAAGACGGTGGGTGGTGATTATTATTATTACTACTAGTACGAGTATCGTAAATCGAGGAAGACGATGAAATCAATTTCTTATCTCCCATCACTCTCTTCTTCTCTCTCTCTCTTCCCTCTGTGATATCATTAGAGAGAAAAAAAAGAAAAGCAGTTAAAGCAAATGAAGAAAAAAACAGAGTTTTTCGTTTTATGGGCATGGAAAGAGAGAGAGAAGAGAGAGTGGCCGTCACGCGCCAGCTAGGAGACAGAGGTTAAAATGATTGGACTGTCATAGAGTTAAAAGTGACGGTAGCTGTTACTGTAGCAAAAGCAATAAGCTTGTGTCCGCTCACGGTTTTTCAAACAAAGGTAAGTAAAAAAAAACAGAAAAAACTTTTTTTTTCTTCTCCCAAAACTTTTCCTCGTCGCACGTGAGACACACTAAAACTAGTACTAGGAGTTAACTCCTATTTTATTTTTACTTGTATTTTTCATTTTATGTGTTTTTTTTTGGGTTAGTTTGGTAACAAATTATACAACTTTTTATCTGCGTTCTCATAGTCCATTATTTAAAATAGAAATCTGTTCAGACGCATATGTATATTCTTCGTGCTACGGATTAACTCAGTATAATTTTTTTATAAAAAAGACTTATTTATCTCAAAGTCAAATTGATGGAGAAATATTTTGAATTGCATTAGTTTTTAGAAAAGAAGTTAAACGTCTTGGATGTTAGACAAAACTATTTCCACTTTTAGTAATTTGGACGATAAATCCAATTCTTACTTGTTAGGAAACACAAATGAATTAGTAAGTAAAATATGATTTTAATATGCAATATTATATTTTTGTAACTCGTGGCGTAATGAACAAGAATACATTAGTTGCTTGTTGCTATTTTATTCTATTCAACATAAGCCCATGCCACTGGCATGCGTTAAAATACACGTGCGACTTTAAATCAGTTTTCGTATCGTAATTACGGTGTCATTTCTTTTCAACTATACAATTCGTCGTAGTCTCGTACGTCTTTGAATGGGAACATAACAATTGATAAATCAACCATCGAATTTTAAATCTAGTGTTTTTCATTAAAGAAAACGTTATATAACCTAATCCGGATTCATATCTGGTGTTTTTTTTCCGTGGTATAATATATAGACCAAAAAATATAGGTTTATTGTAATAATTAATAGAGAACATGTAACTGTATAGATAATGGCAACGTTCACCGAATTCGTGTTCCGCCGGCAACAAAGCGAATGCACCGAAGTCTCCAATTGCGTTCTGCCCGGTGCAACTGCACATGAAAATAGACAACGCACATTTTATTGTTAAAAAGAGAAAAAACATATAAACTATTTGTTAATATGTAAATATAACTAAGAAAAGTAATCTATTTGTATCGTTCTTATCTTGCTTCTCAGCCAATAATATATAGCAGCTTATAAAAATTAATTGAAGTTATCTAACAACTTGTACTGTTAGAGTTCATCGTTTAATTTTTTTTTTTTTTTTGCTAAAGAACTTATGTAATAACTTGTACTGTTAAACTTAGAATTCATCATTTGATATTTTAACTGTATAGTTTGTCTTTCTTTCTTTTTGTATGCACTGAAAACATCGATCGTACTTGTTTCTTGATGAATGCGCACTAACTACATCATTTGTTTCACTGCAACATTCAAAACACAATAAATACTTATCCTCGTATTTACAATTTCTGAAACAGTGAAAATGCAAATGAGACACAATTACTAAAAAGCCTGCAGCATTTTTCAGCATCTGCTTTTCTATTATTTTATTAGGATCATTTTCTGGCATTATATGAAAGCTGTTTTCTTACATCATTTATTAAAAGCTGTTCTAATGATACAATTCAGAATTAATCAAAGTGATATGGTCGAGTCTGATTATGAGACATGTAATTGAAGACATCCACAACAAACGCAACCAAAAAAAATTGATTGTAAAATGGATATTATAATACATAAATTTATAACAAAAATTATGTTCAAATTAAAACTGGAATAACCAACTCAGCATTCTTTTCAACTTTTAAAACCAAACATTGGGACAAAACCTTCCTCAAGTCTCAGCAAAATGTTGAATCCTTTAACAACAAAGAAAAAATGTTGAATTCCATCACGTTCAGATGATTTAAACGATACTGTTGATCGGGGAAAGTTTTGCCCCGTATGAAACTACGAATGTATCACTTTTTTTCGCTTCCTTTGTTTTGAACAAATGTATCACTTTTTTTCAACAACTTGTTATAAGCAAAATAATATTTCGTTATTCAGTTTTGAGTTTGGATTGATAGGCAACGGATCAAAAACCCTTAAATAAACAATAACATATATTTGTCAAACTAATTTACATATCTTAATAAAAAACACAAATCTACTAACCAGGATAAATAATATGTAACAATTTAATATAAATAACTTCTGATGACCAAAAAAAAATAACAAGGAAGTTATGGGCTCCCTCGGACCGCAACCATACATTGATAATACTTTGCTTAAACGTAAACTATTCATCCCAAACTGTTTAAATTTTTCCAAATAAACGTACATATCTCAAGTAATTGAAGCATCTAGTTCAAAGACAATAAATTCAATTTTAACAAAAACAAAATATCCAATAAATTCAACATACATGCATATGATTTGAGAAATATCAGATTTACGTCTTCTAGAATTGTCAAATAAAAGAATGAAAGGATGGTTGAGATCTTTAATAGTTTGTTCAAAACCAGCATGATACATTTTATATTTTGTCTAGATTCTAACAAGATAGTTGAATGTTTTCTCTTGTCTTTTTATTTTTATTGGTGGACTGGTGGAATTTTCAAGTTGAGTCTCTGTATGTTAAAAGACCCATACCTCGTTGTCTTGTCTGATTTGAAAGTCAGAAAACAAAATGAAAAACAAAGATGATCCTAAACTTCCTTTTCACCTTTTATCCTCGTTTTACTCTTTTCCTTACATACAAACACCAGTTGTACGCTGTATGAAGTTCTATATGTGCTGATGTGCATATGCAACATACTAAATAATCCCGTAATACGTATGAATATAAGATACGTGATTAAAACTCGCACTACTCAGGTTTAGTTATATGTTTTTTAGTTGTTTGTTGGAAGCTTTAAAACTCAACAAAGCAAAAAAAGTTTAGAGCAAATGCTAGCATCTAATGCATATATTTATTTTAAGTTTCAGATTATCACTTTTCATCTCATTTTGCCGTATTGATTACTTTTAAACATAACATGATGTTTTTATATATACCCTGCGAGATGGACCACGAGATCATTTGGATCTCTTTCAAAATTCAACATCACACGTCAACTGAGGCCCCCGAGACAACTCCCCACTTGAAACCTAATTGCAAGTTATAATCATTTATTTTTAAAATACTGGTTTGTATTTCTTTCTTTTTTTAATAAAAAAAAACAAGGCTTTAGAAGTAAGAAATGATTTCAAACTTTAAGTTTTTGGTAAAATAGGTCCTAAAAACATTTTCATAACCAAAAAATGTACTGGTAATTTAAAGTCGCTAATGAGTGGAGTCTGATAGTACTAAACAACGCAATCATAAAACGAAAGCTGATATATTATTTACCAAAGGCAGTACGCAAGTCCTTTTTAAGCCTCTTTTATTTACTATTACAGTCATATTGTTAACAACTTAACATTAATATAAAACAAGTGTTAAGCCCGGTCAAATTAAATTAGAGTCGTGTCGAGGTAAATCGATCTAACATTGAACTGAAAAGGAGCTAGTTAATCAATTCGTCTATTCTAAACAATCGTAATCGAAAAGTAAATATATTAAAAAAAAAAAAAAACAGTTTCAAACCAATATTACCCAGACCAGATTTCTTGATATCTAAATTTTATATATAGAGCCGAAAAGAATCAAAACAAAAACTATAGTTATAACCGAATTGCAGAGTTGTACATTCTTATGATCAATATAAAGAAAACCTCGTGCACACGCTAATTTAGTAAGACGATATAAATCACGAGGATGGACATTAAAAACGATATTATTAAAGTATAATTTATCTCCACGAATAATAATTCCCTTGTAGATTTTCACACACACACACATACACAAAATAAAAAGGATCGGACGGTTGGATGAGCAAGTGGATATCGGGAGCCTAGAGATGCGCAACATATAAGCTTACGTCACAGACGTAGCATGATCTGACGGTGGCTATTTCACGAGGGATAAAAGAAAGAAAAGATGGTGTATGGTGCTGGGATCTGGTGTGGTACCGTCCTTTTTAGAGTATTCCCACGAAGAGTTAAATCACACGTGTCATAGTTTCATTAGTTTATAGATACACATTTAAGTAGGATCGGACGGTCTAAATAAAGCTGAGTTGTGTACTTGGTTGATACGCACTCTTAGGCCATCTCCAACCATGCACCAAAACACTAAATTTGGTGTTGATTCTTCTCCAATGATGCACCAAATATTGCACCAAATTTTTTTTCTTGTGTTTTGTGAATAGTGTTGCAACATTATTCACAACACCAAACATTAAAATATTATTTTTTTCTCATTTACTCAAATAATTATATTACTATTTATTAATTAATTAAATTATATTAGTTTTAAGAATGTAGGATCCATTCTTGTAATTTAGAATTGCACAAAATTTTGTTATTAATATATAAATAAATTAAGATTAAAAATTCATAATAAGATTTAATTAAACATTTAAACATAAAATTATTAAATTAAAACAAAATTCTTAGCTCGGCATAGGCAAATCAAGGACCGAGAAGCTCATATTGAACTTCGAAATGCATTAATTGAACATTTGTGGTTAGAATATGCTAATTCTGAAAATTAGTATAATGTAATTTCTTTTTAGTATTTTTTTTTTTATTGTAATTTTTGTTTTTTTATCACCGAATGTAATGTTATAACAAATTTATAATTAATCTATTTTATGAATAATAAGTACTCATCAAAATATGAAAAATAAAGAGAATCTTAAATTTAATAATATAATAATATAAAAGATTGTTTTTAGTGTGAGATTTGGTGTTGTGGTTTGAGATGAAAAAAAATACTATTCACTTTTACACCAAATTTTACACTATTCATGACACTAAATTTGGTGCT